CAGTTGCACTCATGCCATCCATAGAAGCTTGTTCTGTAGTTGCCATCATGCCATCCATAGAAGCTTGTTCTGTAGTTGCACTCTTGCCAACCATAGAAGCATGTTCTGTTGTTGCCATCATGCCATCCATTGAAGCTTGTTCTGTAGTTTTCATCATGCCATCCATAGAAGCATGTTCTGTTGTTGCCATCATGCCATCCATAGAAGCTTGTTCTGTAGTTGCCATCATGCCATCCATAGAAGCTGGTTCTGTAAGTTCACTCATAATTTTCACTACACACCATCGGCCAGCTCACCCACGGCATGTGCCACTGCGTGGGCTACCGACACGATACAGACGAGGAGTGGGCCGAGGTGTGTGTGTATGTGGTGCGCATTAACGCTTAATCAGCCGAGTTATAGTTCCGTGGTTTGATTTTGTGCGGTGCTGCAGGTTGGAAGTGTTCTGAGTAGATTTAGTAAGTTCTTGGTTCTCTGAAATGCACATGGCCCTCTTTAATATCTCGGAATGACCGAGGCTTGTGCAAAAGGGTGTCGCATATAGCCACAATACTTCTCAATCGTTCAGCTCCCCCCAGCTTGTGGTTTATTCGGTGTATAGATTTCTTGTAGTACTTTCATGCTTAATTTAATCCGTCTATTGCTCTTCGAAAATTCAGACCTTTGCAAATGACATATATTGTATCTTTCTGCGGAGCGGTTCGCATACTTGTGATGCCCGAGCTACGAGTATTACATACATACGTAGACAGGTAGATATATAGATAGATATATAGATACATAGATACATGAATATATACATAGATAGATAGATAGATACATACATGTATACATGTGCTACGTGGCTGACAGATATAGTATCAAGTAGAATAAGTATGCGTCAACTACAATTTCAGTTACACCTTGTCGTTCAGTAGGCTTTGAGCCCTCTGGCCCTCTCACGCACTCGAAGTTGCTGATTTCGTGTTTGCACACCATTATGTATGTTCATAGGGTTCCTTGGGTGTACTCATAGCCAAACCTTTCTGTGACAACGGCAATACACACAGATGCAAAAGAAGGAAGAGTGGATACTCGAGCGCTTGAAAGCCAAGTTCCCAATACGGACTTCGACAGCTCCGTTGTCTTATGTGAGTCCGCCTACTTTTCAACACAATGCCGAGAAGAAAGAAGAGGAACGATAAGCCACACACACACACACCAATGGGTACAATCACGTACAGACCATACCATGCCATCCGTTGTGTGGCATAAAACCAACAAGGCGAAGCTTGTGCTGCTCTAACTTATACACGGCAGAAGAGACGTCTGATCCAGTGAGACGCAATGCGTGAGCAGCACTGACTAGGTAAATGTCCATCATTCACTAACACACAAGCAAAACCAATCCCTCTCGCACATGGCAATGATCATGGTGCACGTTGCGCAGAGATGTTCAGTGTGTCGATTTGTCACCGTCATCCAGAGTGCACAGTTCCATCTCTTTAGCCCATACAAACACAAGTATGTCAGAGAGAACACCGTTCTTGAGCAGTGTACGGTCAGCCATTGCAGCCATGTGGGTATGCGGAGACATAGGCATACCGGTGTGATCGTGCAGATATATCTCTGCCGATGGTATGTCTGCCGGGCCACGCCTGTAACGGATTTGTGCTTGGTCACATAACCAACCGTTGCTATGACATATATATCTACTGCAGACTTAAACACAAGTATGCGTGGAGTCGCAACTACATACGATCTTACAACAACATACATGTACACAATTAATACGAAGCTACAACTACGTTCGAGCACACGACTAAATGTGTGCACGCATTTGCGCTCGAGTAAGTGCTTGCACACACACTCTTAAACATTATTAGTCAATTCTGACCCGTGGCTGTTGTGCTGTTGACGGTTACGATGAATGAGTATCACGAAAGATGAATCTCAAGTAAGGCGAGCTGATAGTTGATGCCAATCACTTTGCGAAACGCATACAGACGATCAATCTACAGAGCGTTCTTTAAAACCGTAGGTACACTTGACACGTATTCTGGCTTGCATACCTAGTTGAGGATTCGAAAAGGGTTGCGTTCGAGATTTACATGCTTGTATTGAGTTGCCTCATCGGCTCGTACGATTTGTATTGTAACGAAATTCTATGCGTAGGCAATTCGCATAAGGCTAGACGCTCCGTGGGGTAAGATGCTATAGGCAAAAAAACGACTCAACGAGGAAATTCAAGAAATTTATAACTTTATGCCAAGCAGATAGGTTTTCAAGTTAATGCAATGAACCAATACGAAATTAGTACAACCACTTATGTAGACAGCAGTGCATATTGAACTATAGATGCCCAGTCACGGACGTGCAAACAACTGTAGCTACGTGTATCATATGCTTATTTTTCATTTGTTTGCCCTGACGTACAACCCTATCTCAACAGACAATCTCAAGCCGTCCGAACAGGTAACGAAGACAAGGCTGCATAATGTGAACATATACACACAGCTACGCGCGCTCAAACATGTTTCAAATACGTTTATCCACGTCGAAGTTCGATATGCGACACGCCTGAAAACCATACAAACAAATTCTTTATTCAAGTTTTAATACATCGAGTGCCTCTCTAGGCTCTCCCAAAACCTTTCGGGTTATGATAATTCAGAACAGCACCTGCAGCGTGTACCGCAGCAAAGACCGCATAGTTTATAACTAATAGAAAGAATAGAGTGGGCCAAATCGACCAAAAATTGTCTTCCAAATTGATTTCAAGCTCACAAAACTATTCGCAAGCAGTGGGAGAAAACTTTCCACGCGAGACTGCCTAATGTGGCTCAGCTATTCTGCACCGCGCCAAGCAATCTGATCTAGCTATACTCATGGGCAATACATTGCGAATTAGATTGATTGCAGCTTCACTTTGGCCAAAAGCCGCTGACAACGCCTCCGTCGGCAGCGCGAAGAGCTGTTCTGGTAGTGTGATGGTACCTGGATCAACACCATTCAAACTCGACACAAACACTGCCGGTTCGCACTCCATATTTTGCTGGAAATGTATAAGTCCTTGCGGGAAAAATGTGCTCATGTCTGCAGATAAGTTGTTCATGATAGCCCCGCCTCCATTCTCACCTACAAAGCCCACTGTAACTGCGCCAGATACCATATATACGAGCTCGGTGGCTCTGGGGTGTATATGCGGGAGGTTTATCCCGCATGGTTCTATGGTGAACTTGGTTTGAGCCATATTTGCTAGGACAAGTGCCGGGTGCGCTGCTAACTCAATGGGCTGGATCGTTCCACCGTTGCCTGTGCCGGTGTTGGGTAACTGACAATAGTCGAAGACAAAGTCTGAGACTTGGAATGTGCTCAACCTACTCTGGAATGTCTGGAACACTGGTGTCTGTCTTTTGTTACTTGTTTGAAGTTTAGTATCTTGGTCACCTTCTACACTTTCAGTATTATAGTCAGAACTGTCAAAAACACGATCATATACATCATCCCTCGTTGCTCGATACAGATGGTCGATAGAATTTTCAGCTAGTTCGCTCTTGAACTCCGCCAATACAGTCAAAAGCTTCTGGTATTCAACGTCATTGTTGATGCCACTATCGGTATATTCTGTATCATGATAGTCCACTCTTTCGAACACAGAGACAGCAGGCGAATCGGCGGGCATAGAAGGCATGGCAGCTACCAGTGTCACGAGCAGGCTTGCAACAGCATACTGTATGACTGTCATTACAAAGTTCCCTTTGTTGAGTTGTGCCGTTTACTCGTCTAGAACTCGAGAGGAACTACAAGCCTACAACCCAAGGAGAACTTAGTAATATCGATCAACAGACAAAAATCAAACGCACTAACAGGTCGCATCATGTTTTATAACATTTTAAAAATTCGATATGAAAAGGATTTGCTGGCGGCATCACATATTGGTCAGCCACACTTTCTATAGGTATAATCAAATCTAGTTCAATCGCTTAGCAACCCAGTGGGTGTTACACAGGCTTCGAGTCTTCGACAGTACTTCCTGTTGCTTTGTCAATAGATATCCGTAATAAATAATCGATAAATAATAATCCTATTCTTAACTCGTCTGTTCACCGCATTCGCGTACCCATTTTTGTATTTCTTTTTTTGTCACGGCCATGCCCTGTACGCTGAGAACGCTTGTACAATACGTGAAGTTCAGCGTGCTGCATTCCAATATGAAATATTTGCTCCCAAATATGGCTATGTATTTAAGGCATTTCAGATTGGGTCTGTGGCATTCCCCCCGCGCTTTTGTGAGATATAGACAAATGTGGACAATGCTTTTCTTGTTTAATTTTCAGAAGGCTATGCATAAATACACTATTTATGTTTATCTCGTATAGAAAATTGCATTGCAAACACACGTCACAAGGATTGGTAAGGATTGCAGATAGGTGGGTGTGTAGTACAGCTGTTTAATAGTAAGTGGGGCCTTCAATAGTTTGGTAGGGTGTATCATGGCGATACGATTCAACAGCACGATATCGACAGACATCCGCAATACAAAACGCAGATTCATACGTATCGAACTCGAGCATTCGTAGATGCAATTGTCTTGGAGTTTGGTGTATTTTGAACACTGCTATTTACAACAGTTGTAGGGTTAACGATTCACAGAGATAAACATACAATTTTCAACATAAACTCCGAAGCGAAGAGAGAAACACTCTAAATACACATATTCCCGTATACAAATAGTCCCCACAAGTGTTAAAATTCAGAAGCAGTATGTTGTTCTTAATCGGCGTCCTATGGATAATCCTGAACAACTTCATGCTACTTGCGACGTTCGTAGGCATGCCGCTTGCCTTTATATACGGTGATGAAGAAGGCTTCTTGCAGTTTACTATGGCATTGTTGATCAGCAAACTGGTGCTGTTGGGGCTGATGCGAACCGTACCGAAAGCACAGGTAAGCCCCATCAATTCTATACATTAGCGCTATAGTGTTGCGCTAGTGTCCAGCGAAGTGAAGTTGTTAGC